TCAAGACCAACCTTGTCCCCAAGGTTAAAGGCAGGGAACTGTTCCTGGGTGGTGGCCAATGGCTCCCAAGTAGCTTCCCAAGTAGGTAAAGTCCGTCCATTGAACCAGAACCTCCACCACATTATGGCCACCAACCTGCACGGAGCGAAAGCTTAAGATTTCCTCCGGCTGGACTTGTAACTTGAGGTCCTCAGTGAGCTACGAAGGTAAGGGCTGCCCTTTAAACTCTGCCCCTTGGTAACGTTTCAGCTGCGACACGTGAAAGACAGGATGGATGCGTGTTGTGGGCGGCAGTTGCAGTCGATAGGCCACTGAACCTATGCGCTCGAGCACCTCAAACGGTCCATAAAAACGTGGCCCTAACTTCTCATGTGGTCGTCTGGCCAGGGATTTCATGAAATAGGGCCGTAGTTTCAAGAGCACCAAATCCCCTAGAACAAAAATCACCTCACGACGATGCGCATCCGCAAACTTCTTCATGCGCTGCTGAGCTAAGGATAAGTGATCCTTGAGGGCGTCCAGCATCTGGTTTCGGAGAAGCAGCTTCTCTTCCACATCTGCAACCACCAAAGGAGCATCTTGAAAGCGATATAGTACTGGAGGAGGGCGTCCATACACCAGCTCAAATGGAGTAAACTTGGTGGAAGCATTAAAAGTGGTATTAAACCAATATTTGGCCCGAGGTGAGAAGGACAGCCACTGGCGCGGTTTGTCACAGGCAAAACACCGCAGATAGGTTTCTAGGCAGCGATTAACAACTTCGGTTTGGCCATCGGATTGCGGGTGATAGGCGGTGCTCATGTGTAGCTTAGTGCCCTGCATCTTGAACATTTCACGCCAGAAGCCACTCATGAAGAGCGAGTCACGATCACTCAAAATGGAACGAGGGAACCCATGGAGCCTAACCACCTCCTTGACGAACAATTCAACCACTTGGCGAGCCGTGTATGGATGCGCGAGTGGCAGAAATGGACGTATTTGGTTAGACGGTCTACTACCACCAGAACCGTATCCATGCCGCGGGACTTGGGTAACCCACCAATGAAGTCCATAGAAACATCGTCCTAAACTTTGTCCGGGATGGGGAGAGGCTGCAGCAAGCCTGCGGGGGACAAAGCCTCGTACTTGGCCTATTGGCAAACCACACATTGCGCTACATACGTACGAATGGCTTGCTTCATGCCCTTCCAAAACACACTGGCAGCTATCCGCTTATACGTTCTGTAGAACCCCGAATGCCCGCCGATCACCGAGTTGTGAAGTTCGTGCAAGACCTTGCCAATCCACGGCGAGTCGGTCGGTAGAACCAACCTATCCTTAAAGAAAAGGATCCCGTTGTTCAGCTTGTAGCCCGTCGGAACATCCTGATTGGTCTGCAACCGTGAGATGAGGTCGGCTAATGAAGCGTCAGCCTTTTGACCACGTTGTACCTCAGAGAAATCCAGCAGCTATGGCAGGGAGATGGCTGATAAGCTCGGCTGGTCCTCCTCACCGCGGCGGGAGAGTGCATCAGACGACACGGTTGGCAGCCCCTTGCTTGTATTGCACCTCAAAGTCATAACCCAAGATTTTAGTAATCCATTTGAGTTGCTCAAGAGGAAGTAGTCGCTGGTCTAGCAGGTATCGAAGGCTTTGCTGGTCACTTCTCACCACAAAGTGCCTTCCAAGAAGGAAATGGCGCCACTTTTGTATGGCTAATACCACGGCCATCAATTCTCTTTCGTAGGCGGACTTCAAACGGAAAGTTGGAGCCATTACCTTACTGAAATAAGCTAATGGGTGGCCCTCTTGCATAAGAACGGCACCCACTCCATAACCCGATGCATCCGTCTCCACCACAAACTCCTTTGAAAAACCGGGCATCGCCGAAACCGGGAGTGATGACATGGCCTTCTTTAGGGTGACAAACGCCTGTTCTTCCTCCGCCTGCCATTTAAAGGCACCCTTTTTAAGCAAAGTTGTCAACGGTCGCACGAGCTCTCCAAACCCCACCACAAACCGCCGGTAATACCCCACTAGACTGAGGAATCCACAAAGTTCTCGTATTGTCTGAGGGGATGGCCATGTGCTTATAGCTTGGACCTTTGAAGGGTCGGCTACCACCCCTTCTTCCGAAATGATGTGCCCCAAGTACTCCAAGCTTGGTCGTCCAAAGGCACATTTTTTTCGATTGGCAAACAGTTGTTCACGCTCTAGGACTTCCAAAACTGCTACCAAATGAGCTTGGTGCTCCTCCCAACTTCTACTGTAAACAAGTATGTCAAAAAAAAAAATCAAAACGAATCGGCGAAGGAAGGGTCGGAAAACTGAGTTCATGAGAGCTTGAAATGTGGCGGGGGTGTTTGTGAGGCCGAAGGGCATGACGAGGATCTCGTAATGCCCCTCGTGAGTCCGGAACGCTGTCTTCTCCACATCACAGTCGCAAACCCGGATCTGGTGGTAGCCAGCCCTCAGGTCCAACTTGGAAAATATCCTAGCTCTATGCAACTCATCCATTAGCTCATCGATTAGCGGGATTGGGAATTTATCCGGGATCATAACCTGGTTTAAGGCACGGTAATCAACACAAAAACGCCAACTCCCATCCTTTTTCCTGACCAACAACACCAGACTGGAGTATGGGCTGCAGCTTGGTTGGACTATTCCGACAGCCAACATCTCGTCTACTAACTTCTCCACTTCCTCCTTTTGAATTTGCGGGTATCGATAGGGGCGAATATTTGGCGGGGCGGCTTGATCCTTGAGGACAATACGGTGGTCGTGCGCGCGGTGCGGCGGAAGCCGGGTTGGAACACCAAACACTCCCTCAAAACGGCTGAGTACCGCCCGTAACTCCAGAGGCTCTCCTCCTCGGCCGGCTCTCCGGCCAAACTGGAACGTATATCTAACAATAGCCCAACCCCAGTGGAATGAAATGAACGAGTTCAGGATCGTAAACTTACCGGCGTAACGCACAGGGTGGGGCCGCCCTTCCAGTGAACCCAGTCAGTCCCATTTTTAAACTTCATCGTGAATTCCGACCAGTTGGCTCGGACTTCGCCCAACGTGCCCAGCCATGTGACGCCCGGCGCTCCCCAATTCGAATGGAAAAAAATTCTCGACCAGTTCATGGCCTTGAATCTCCAGCCTCACATTCCGACAGCGCCCATGTTGTTTGAATGTCATTCCATTTCCCACTTGGATCTCGTGGCTGGCTGTAGTATCAGTAGGTATTGCCAATTCGTCCACCAAGGGTAACGATATAAAGCTGTGAGAGGCGCCGCTGTCGATTAAGACGATGACACCCTGCGTACCCAAGTAGCCCCGCAGCTTCATGGTCTTAGAGGACACCACTCCGCGCATCGAGTTCAATGACACCGCTGCTGCTTCGGTCGTCACCCCTCCCCCTTGAGCAGGCGGTGTATCCTACTCCTCACTAGACTCCTCGATCTCCTCTGTCCCATCCTCCGCCACCAGGAGCACCTGTAGCTGCCGGTTCTTGCAACGGTGGCCCAGGCTGAAACATTCATCGCATCTGAAGCAAAGGCCCTTAGCTCTCCTCTGTTGGACTTCTTCAGATAAGCGGCGGAACTTGGATTCCCCACTTGGTGCACGCTGAGACAAAAGAGAAGGCCACATGCGCCCCTTGGCTGTCGTGGCACTGTCTCTGTAAGTATTGGATCGAAGGGGGTTCTCTGCTGGGCCTAAAGAAGAGCTGGAGGTCGGCCACCCCGAGTTGGGCCGGCCAAAGTACTCCCCCTTGCTTCCCCGGCCCAGCCTCAGCTTCCTCATCCTCTCCACCGCATCATCTCAGGCCTCAATTTGTTAGGCCAGGTCCATAACTTCTTGCAAGTTAATGGGCCTGTGTAATTTTACTTCCGCCCTGATGTCCTCTCGTAATCCGTTGAGGAACGCTCCTTTGAACACCGATTCCGGAATGCCCCTCATTGGTGCCGCCAGCGCTTCAAAAGAGTCACGAAACTCGGCTACCGTTCCACTCTGCCGGAGTGCCATCAGCCTCTCGGTAGGGTCCCCTTCCCCGGATCGACTGAAGCGATGGAGGATGGCCGTCCGGAGGTCCCTCCACCCCATAAAAGGTTCCTGGGCCTCCACCCACTGGAACCAGCCCAATGCCCTCCCTTCCATGCAGATGGACGCCGCGAGCACCTTCTCCTCCTCATCAACCTCGTTGACGGCGAAGTACCGCTCGGCTCGGAATAGCCACATGTATGGGTCTTCGCCGGAAAAAATTGGAAGTTCCAGCTTCTCACCGCGGTGGTCGCGAGCTCGTGGTTGCTCCGGGGAGTCATGACGCTGACGTCAACCCTGCTCGAAATTCCGCCCACCGCCCTCGACGGGGACCCCGTGATTGGGTGCGCCAAACTGTCGAGCAAGTAAGGCTCTCATCCGCTGGATGGAACCATGAACCACGTTTAACCGTTCCCCATCGCCGTAACGTCCTCTTGCATACGAGGTACGGGATCAACCATAGTGCCCAAGAGCTGAACCGTCTCATTCATATGGTTTAGCCTCCGCTCCTTACTCGCAACTCGCTCAATCGCTTGCCGATCTCCCGGTGGCGCCGCTATGATCACCGGCTCTAATACCAATTTGTTAGAAACCTGCGAGTTGGAGAGTAATAACCACAAGAAGAGAAAAAGAAGATTGGCAAATAACAGCGCAAATGGGGCGTCTGCTCCTTTTATTCAATAACGAGCCACCATAGACTCGGGGCCATGGCTGAGTACAAGCTAATCTGTATGAAAGGAAACGTAAATGGTTGAGGAAGGCCTGGTAATTTCGAGGTCCCACCCTCCCAATGCTCAAAGCACCCAAAATAACCGAATGCCTTTCCCAAGGTCCCCACACACCCTTAAATCCCCTGACTCCTACAATCCTTCTAACAGACTTCTCCATGTCAGCTCTTAGTTCCCGAAATTACATTCCCCCCCTAACACTTACTCTATTCTCACTCCCCATACCCTTGCGCTTCCTGGAATAGACAAAGGGGCTAACAGTATATATATATATATATTTTTATTTATTTATTTATTTATCTTTTCTTTTGAAAAATCTTAATCAAAGCAAGCTTTAACTTTGATTTTTTTTTTGGGTAGTAGCATCATCACAACACCAAAGCTAGTCCCCTTTGTATTCCTTTTTTTTTTCTCTTTTTTTAAATTTCTTATTTTAACGCACTACCTTGTGAACTAGATTATATAAGAATCTTAGTTGTTGAACCTTTCATGTTACCTTGTGCTTTCCAACTCATTTGTTGCCATCATGTAGTTGTGTGCTTTACACTTGGGTGGTCGTTGACTCGTTATCAAAATTTGTTGAACTGAATTGCAATATGTGCATCTTTTCTGCTGGCATATGGAAAATATTTTGCTCAAATTACATTTCATCGCAAACACAGTCATAATTTCTCGTGAGACGTGAATAATATGATTTCTCGTGAGACATGAATAATATGATTTCTCCTTCAACAGTTGGAAACTGCAGAATCAAGAAAGATGAATAGTAGCTGTTTGCGATTCGCAAGAGTTTCCTGGCAGTTACTTCTGGCTCCATGGAGATTTCTCTTTTCCTTTGTGCCTCCATACACTATTGCTCATGGTTGGATTGCCTTCATATCTTCTCTGATTTTCATCAGTGGTATCGCTCACATAGTGACAAAAATCACAGATCTAATAAGCTGCGTAACAGGTATTTTGCACTCTAGAATTAAAGCTTCCAGTTCCTTCAATGTGGTGGATATCCTTGTTCAGCATTTACATCTATACTTTTTTTTTTTTTAATCTTTGCAGGAATAAATCCTTATGTCATAGCATTTACTGCATTAGCAAGTGGAACTTCATGGCCAGATTTAGTTGCGAGCAAGATTGCTGCGGAGCGTCAGATAACGGCAGACTCTGCTATTGCAAACATCACTTGCAGGTTTACTCATCTGACCTTCAACTTAGAAATGTACTCTTGTTGTGAACATCCATGAAGGTGTTTAAGTGAAATAATTGTATAAATTATCAGGGCGTCAAACTCATTTAACATTTTTCCTTTACTATGTTGCAGCAATTCAGTGAACATTTATGTTGGCATCGGTGTTCCATGGCTAATCAACACTGCCTACAACTTCTTCGTATATAGAGAACCACTGAGAATCGAAAATGCAGAGGGACTCAGCTTCTCTTTACTTGTGTTTTTCTCTACTTCAGTGGGCTGTATTGCTGTTCTGGTATATAGGCGTCTAACGTTGGGAGCAGAACTTGGAGGGCCAAAGCTCTGGGCCTGGGTTACAAGTGCGTACTTCATGTTGCTATGGATTATTTTTGTTGTGCTATCTTCTCTCAGAGTTTCTGGCATCATATAATTACTCGCGTTTTGTTTTGCTTTGCTTATACTTTGATATATAAGTATAGAAAACTGGTTACACTATTGAGCTTGTATAAATATTGATTCCTTTATTTTTCCAGTCTATGGATAGTATATACCGCACAATTTGTGCAATTCATTTATTTTCTACAAGCGAACATGTGTAGTAATACATCTGATTGGGCAAGAGGGTATCCGACTCGAATTGAGTGGATTTGGACCCAGAACTGCAACTGAAAATAAATAATAAAAAAAAGAAAAGAAAAAGAAAAGAAAAGAAAAGAGAGAGAGAGAGAGAGACAGCCATAACAAAATGTTTGATGTTGCTGGGCCAAAAACACTTGACATGTCTAGAACAGCTGACTTTTCAAATTTGACCACTCTATTTAGCAGCCAGAACAGTGTTCAACAATGGACAACATTAGGCATTCCTACTCCATCTAACTAAATCTTAGAGCGCAAAAAAATAATAAAATAGATAAAGGAAACCCAAAACAATTTTCGCTTCTCAAATCCAATAAATGTTCTTCCTTAAGCAAAAGCACCGGTACAAGCAGTTGCTGGAACGCTGTCGAGCTGTTTCTTTGCTGAACTGTATTTCTTGGTAATGAATCTGCAATTAACAAGCAAGACAAACATTACTGACCTTGCACAAATAAAATAAACATCTCAATATGCAATACAATTCCAAACACAGAAGGAATGATTCAGTTGCAATGTAAAGGTTTGATGAAAGCCCTGTAAATCAAAGAATGTTATAAATAAAATGAGAGACAAAACAGGGGATATTGAATTCATCCATGAGAGAAAATATCAGAATTCCTGTAAGAGCTTGAAGAAGCAAAGTTCCTCGTATACCTGAAGAAATCCCTCCACAATAACTCGAACAAAAACCAGTTCATTCCACTGCCACCGTCTTTCTTATCTGACGAAGCTGAAATCGTCCTGCCAATCATAGCGTTTCAATATGGTGTCAGAAATATCTTACAAAGCTGTAAAAACTCTTATCACAGATGAAAAGAAAGGAGCTTGAGTCATACCTGGCAGCAGTTTTCTTTAGCTCGTCAAACATTGAGCGGGGAGAGAGGCATCCCATAGCCAGCCATGGAGAAATTTTGCAGGAAAAGTTTGCACCGTATATGCTATCATGGCTGCCATCCTTGCTTCCCCCCTTGTGCGGCTGTGCTTGGCACTCAGCTGCAAACTTCTTAAGCCTTTCCAATGCTTCCGTTTCTCCCCCGACCATCGAAGCATTCGCTGCGGGCTTCCCATCCTAAACAACAAAATATTACACTATAATCACCCCAAAGTGGTAAAAAAGAACTAAACAGAAGCTTTTTCATGAATTAGTAGCCTGCAGTTAGTTACACCGTGTGATGAACAACTAAAAACCTAACTTAAATATTCCAAGCATTTCCCTCAAGAAAAATCAACAAACCCAATCTAATTCTGCAAATTCCGGAAGAAAAATCAAGAACCTCAAATCGGGAACACAACCCTTGGTCAGCTAATATTATGCCTGAGCATATAAACACTCCCTTATCTTCCCTTATTTACCTAACTAGAACCCAGAAATAAATGATTTGAGACCTTATTGTCAATAGGGCTCTTTACAGAATAAGAAACCAAGGACAATTTTCTTATGTTTGTGTTTATCTTCCAAGCATTTCCTCCAAATCCCAGAAGAGCATTTTGCCTACAAATTTCATGACTTTCTATTCAACAGGTTCCACAACCAACCTGGAAAAAATGTTCTTGACAATGAATGCAAATTAACCAAAATTACAACGACATCAAATTCAAGTGAAAGAACAAAACTCTGAAAACAAAGAAGGCTTACTTGAGCCATAGTTGCAGAAGGGTTAATCCCCAGATCAACCAAGGAAGGAATCTCCCCAATCTCGACATCGCCACACGAAGGCAATCCCTTCATCTGTTCCAAAGCCTCGATCGTCTTCCTCACCTCCAATCCCTTCACTTTCCCCCTAAATCCGCCATAGTTAGACGGCATATCCTCCAAACCGAACGGCAAATCCTCAATGTGGTACAGCGTACTCCCCCAGAAGTACTTCACCTCCACATTCTCCTCTTTCATCGCCTTCTCGATCCTCTCCTCCGCCCTAACCTCGTCGTGCGACACCTCTCTGTGCGCGTAAATCGCGTCGGCGCCGATCTGCTTCGCCAGCTCCACCAGCACCGTCTCCGGCCGCCCGATTCTCACCACCAGATCGGAGCCCCTCGCCTGGAGATTCCGCCGGAGATCGTTGACGGACTCGATCAGGAAAGTGGCCCGGTACGGCCCGGTCTTGTCGAAGCCGGAGGAGGATTTGCCGTAGTCGCAGGGGTCGAAGCAGTAGACGGGGAGGACAGACATGGACTCGTTGTGGGCCGCGTTGAGGCACTCATTGTCGTGGACCCGGAGGTCGTTGCGGAACCAGAGGATGGAAGCCCGGCGGGCTGCGGCGGCGCTGGAGGGGTCCGCGGGCCGGCGTGGGCCCAAGGAGAGGGGGTTGTGGAGGGGGTTGGCGGCGATTGTCGACTTGAAGGAGAGCTTTGACGGCGGAGGAGAAGAAGTGGAGGAGAGAGAAAGGTGAGAGGTGAGAGAAGAGGCTTGAGTTGGGACGGCAAGTTTGACCTTGTTGTAGGTGGGCTGAGAAAACAAGGCTGAGAGTTTGGAGTTTTGGAAGAAGTGTTTTGGAAGGATTGTAGAGAGAGAAAGAGAGAGAGAGGCGATGGGTACGATGGAGAGTTGTTGGTTGTTATTATTTTGGTCGTCCGAGGAGGATTGGGTTTCTGGGTTCTTCTCCATTTTCATTTTGGGATTGGAATCGGACTCCATTTTTTATCTTTTTCTTGGAGAAGAAGAAGGAAAATGAAGATAAAGCAGTGTTTTGTTCGTTGGCTTGGGGCTTTTGTATGGATACCTCTGGTTTGTTCTAGCCTCAAAAGTCTTAAACCTTTATCTATTGCAAAATGTGTGTTAGTTTGTTAAAGGCTTTATATTTTGTTGGTTTATTTGTCTCAACTATTCTTAATTAATCGTCATCTTCTGCGTTCCTTCTTACGCTGACTGCACCTACCACTTCTACTAACTTTTCAAGTTTTTTTTTTTTTTTTTTGAGGTGACTTGAAAAGTTTTCAAACGTTGATTTTCTATACATTAATGGGTCATTTTTTTGAGATTCATAGTGGGGTCGTTGATATTCTCTTTCTTTTTCATTCTTAAGTTATCTTTCTTTTTCATAATTAAGTAGGTGTAATTGAAACGCAAAAAAGAAAAGGGAGGATATGCAATATTACCTTAAGGAGTAAACATAATTTTAACCTTTCAGCAATAATAATAATAATAATAATGAAATGGTGATTATAAATGATATCTTGCAATTTAATGGTGATTCACTTTTTTTTTTCCTTTCGTTTTGCATGCTCGACATAAAGGCATTTTTATTGGAAATAGTTCGCGCATTCTGATTGAAGCCACACACCAAAAAAAAAAAGTGAAAATTAAACTTGATGACATATATCATAACTGAAATATAACAATTTTTTTAATATTTTAAAAAGTTACTGTTTATTTAATCATTTCAAAAATATTGTTTAGTAAAAAAATCTCTTTTTAAAGGTTTTTTTTTTTTTAGGGAAAAAAAAGTTATCAAAAATATATAATTTTCTCTTTTCACCTTTACCTCAAAATTTAATGGGCTGTCGTCCAAGGGAGGGACTTGGGCCCAGGTGGAACCGATCTAGAAGGGAACGCGGCGATAGATAGAGATTGCACGGACAATAATGACAACTCGCCTTCTTCCGAGTTCCGACTTAAACTTTCATGCAAACTTTATCGTCCCTGGAAAAAAGGAGATTAATCAATCTGCAAACTCAAGAAATCAAGTTTTTGTATGGAATGTTTTGTTGGTTTTCGTTATATTCCATCCACTCTTATCTCCCGCCCAATATCCATTAACTACAACGCTTTCAAGAGAAGTGCTAAAACTGGCAAGCTGAGAGCAAAACTCGACGACGAAAACGACCCATTACTCCAAGCCGCCGTTTCTGCCGTTTCTCTTCGTTTTCAGGAGACCTTTCGACCAGGCAAAACCCATTTTTTCATTTTTTTTCGTTCTGCCCATTTTCTTTTTATTTTCATTCAGGCAATTCGTCGAACAGTTGGCGCTTACAGTTTAATAATGCTTGAACTTGGGCAACAAAGCCTAGTAGAAATGTTGTGGGAGTAGATAAAAATGACTCGACACTTTTATATTGTTCTTTTCTGAAGTGATTGTTTGACATTAAGCATGATTATGATTCAAGTGCGTTTATTTTGCGTGCAGAGCCTATTTTCCTCGATCCATATGCAGGTTGCTTTGTTCCTCATCATATTGATATTGATAAGAAGCAATGCTCGCTCCATTATTTACTTGCAACTAAATTCATTGATGACAAATTGCTTGACATAGTTAATCAAATTGATGGGCTAAAGCAGGTGATGACTAGGTAGTGCCAGGACACGAAAAATGAGCACTTCTTTGTTCTTTTTTCCTTTTTCTTTTTCTTTTTTTTTTTTTAATTCCAATGTTGAAGTTGAACTGTGTCCTTATTGAGTTTGCAGGTTGTTTTGCTAACGGACGGCATGGACACCCGGCCTTATCGGCTTAGTTGGCCAACCTCAACCATTATGTTTGATGTATCCCCAGATAGGATATTCAAAACTGCAGCTGAAAAGCTTGAAGGTACGCGGTGTTTGATAGTTCCAAATGCATAATATTGCTGGCATTGGGACATTTCAGATTGCAGTTTGCGATAAGATTGACAATTTCAAAATTACTTGGGCATTTTGCAGACAACTTTATAACTGTCTGAAAATTGTGTAATGATCTTATCCTTTTAGCTTGAAGTGTTGCTTGTAATCTAGGGAATCTTTAAATGGATTGAATTTTATGGACTCATAACGTTGTTGACACTTGATATTATCATCCAGTTGTTTTTGCATGTCTTAAAAATCTACTTTTGCAACAAGGACACCAATTCTTTTTCCCTCCCTCTTTCATGGATTTCATCTTGCCATTCGCATTTCCATGAACTCTAAAGATTAAGGTTTCTCTTATATGTTTGCTTTTTCCGTGTAACCAAGCAGTGTAACATGTGATTGTGATTTCCTAAAATTCATTATCAGATGTTGGGGCTAAAATGCCAAAAGGCTGCTTGTTCCGCCATGTTCCATTAGAGTCATCCAACCTCCAGCAAAGCCTGCGTGCTAAAGGCTTTAATGGTAATCTGCCTAGCGTATGGGCCATACAGGTAATTTTTCAGTCTCCCAAAAGCCATACTTTATTATCTTTAGCAGAAGAGGGATTTAGGAATCGCTTTTAGTTTTATCACTATAGGGACTGCCGTTGATGACATTATCTAGTTTTGAAGAGATTTTGCTCCTTGTAAGTGGGTTGGCCACAAACGGATGTTTTTTCTTGGGAGAATTGCCTGCTTGGTTGGCAGAAACTGATACGGCGATCAAGGTTTACCTCTCTAATGCCCAAAATGGAGTTAAAAATCTCTACTTTTTTCCTTTGTCACGAAACACACCACTTGAGTTATTCTCTTTTGCAGTATGGTATAAGAGAATGGATGGAAAAAGTGTTCATGAGCAATGGCTTCCGTGTGAACATGATTAGCCATGATGAAGTTGCGAGGAGTTTAGGGAAGTCTTTAACACCAGAAAACTACAACAATATGTTGTTTCTTGCAGAGCAGTTGCGGTTTTCTGATGATCAGGTAAGAGGATTGCAGGTGTGCTTTTTCTTGATACGGTTGGTTGTGTCAAGGATCATATTAAGAGTGCTCACCTTTCATTTACTTTTATTTCGTTGTCTCGGTTCGTTTATTTGTCTTTTTTCTATTTTTTTACCATTATCAGCAACTACGAGCTCGGGGTGCTGGACGTGTTTTTATTTTTCAATGAAGAAAGGTTTCAACTAGCAGCAAAGAATTTTTGTGCATCTCTGCTATGTTGGCATCTACTAAAAACCCTATCCCTCACCAAACAACCAACTCAAATTTATTAAATAAAAGTAAAATAACTTACAAACCAAGAGTCAAAAGAAACCAACCACCCAAAATAGCCAAAACGAAATTTAAAATTTGTATAACACACACGCACACATAAAGACTAAACCAAACGGAGCCCACACAAAAGAAATAAGAAAGCCAAAGTCATTACAATGACGACTAGGATTAATTTGTGCCATGACATGTTTTTATTTCGTAACTTTGCAAATGGCTTTTTTTGTTTTTTGGCTTGAGATTTCTAAAGTATTTGCATCTTTGATAGATGGAAACATGGAGAAGGGAGTTTCAAAGAGTTGAGGAAGAAGGGGATGAAGAAGGCTTTGAGGAGCTTTAAACTGAATTAAGCATCTATTTCCTTCAGATAATTACATTTTACACACTGACCTGTTTGTTTCCGCACGGTCTTGCCTTTTGCTAAGCCAGTGGATTGTACATTTTGTAATGACAGATTTTGGAACTTGGCATCCTGATGCTTATTGATTACGTTAATCTCTTCAGATAAAGAAAGAAGCAATTTTTGTGCCCTTTTTATTTTTCTTTTTTTATTATTAGGGAGTTTTTTAGGTAGATTTAAAAAAAAAAAAAAAAAAAAAAAAAAAAAACTATTAAAATGTCTATCTTTTCAGCCGATATCAAAAATTATATTTTTTAATATAATATAATTTTAAGTAGATTTAACAGTTAATAATTAACTCTATTTATAAAGAAGTCTTGTCAAGAAATTACTTTATTATTATTTAAGCTAAGAGAAGAATTATTGCTGGCCGTTGACTTGTGGTAGATGAGTTGAGTTGTTTGCATTGGATTTACGTGGCAAGCTTCCTAGACACAGGATTTATCGTGCAACTACAATCTACCAACCCTTTCCTATCTAAATCAGTTAACAACCCCGCTCCCAAAATAAGCCACCAACTTTTTTGCTGCTTAAGAAATAAAAATATAAAAGCACGAAACACAACTACCAAGTTCTTTGTCGTCATGTATAACATAGGCCTCATAACGACTCTTGCCAAGTTGACACTATTTAATGTGTACAAATCCGAGCCTCTTAAATGAATCCCCAAAGAAAAAAAAACAAAAGAGGAGAGAAAAACAATTGAGGTCCTGCCTATTGCTTGAAATTCGCATTGGAGTTAAGATGAGACTAAAAATACTCAATAGCTTGAGATTTTTACGGTAAGTATGAAAGGACATTCTGATAGGGCTATATTTTAACATCCATTTGTATAGTTTTACATACTTTTATATTTTTATGTCATTTTGACCAAATTTTAGAGCATCTCTGATTCCAAAGATTAATACCCCTATTAAAACAACCCATGCTAAATCATTATGACAAAAAGGAAAGTAGCATGTGAAAATTGAAATAATGATATGCATTGAGGCGTAAAATATAATAGTAGTGACATTGATATTTGCACTAGAAATGGTCCAATATAGGTAACATTTAATGGAGTGAAGCTTTTCTTTTTATGGGGAATAATTGTTGACGGATAATCTTCATGGCATATTTGATGATAATAGCTCATACCATTACCTCCTAAGTTCTATAAACAACATGTCCGTTTAAACAATATGATACATTTTTTTTTCAATCGCATAACGTAGATTGCTACTATGACTAACAACATTGTTAGATAAACATCTTATTCAGATCTATAACCCGTGCATTATTTTTTTTTTAAATTTTTTAAACAGACATGCATAATCCTCAATTGTCCGTACTACTTCTTTTAGCAGTTGCACACAGCACACCCAGTCGTCTGGGAGGTCCCGAAAACGGTGGTCTGATGAGTGACCTACTCAATAAATTGATTTTTCTCTTAATATTTGGTGGCATAATATGAAAAAAATATTCCAATGGTGAGATACAATTTTGAATGACAAATTAAATTATTTAGATGTAAATTTTAACTTGTCAGATTTTGATTAAATAAAATATTAAAAGATATGAAAATCTTATAACTAACAGTTCAAATTTGTATTATAAAAAGAAAAACAATCTGTATTCAGCTTTACCCAAGAAGAATTCTCCTTTTTTTTCATAAAATAAAATAAGAAGATAAAAAAATAAGAAGATTGAGACATGATATGAAGAAATATTCAACTAGTAACATACAATTTTAATCGACAAATTATATTATTTAGATGCAATTTGATTAAATAAAACATTTACAAATACAAAAATCAGTGCGTTTAAAATTGATTTCAAAATGATTTTATTTTTAATAAAAAGTAAAAATGAGATTGTTTTGAGAATCATTTTAAAACCGATTCTGAAATTACATTTAATTAATTTTTTAAAAGATTATTTTGAGTATAATAAAAAAAAATAAAATCGTGTTTATTAATTAATATATTATAATATTGTTAATAAATACTAAAAAATAAAAACAGAAAAGTGAAAACTTTCAACTTTAACTGTTTTCTAATTCTTTACAAAAATCATTCTCATTGTTTTCATTTTCATTTTTATTTTTAAAACATTTGCTAAACAAACATCGTTTCGTTTTTATTTTCATTTTTTACTTCTCAAAATACTGAGAATACGTAAAAACCGTTTTCAAAACAGTTCCAAACATGCACCTTATATCTAAACTCTAACTGTTCAAATCTATATATATATATATATATATATATATATCCTGCCTTACCATGGAAGAATTCTCCTTTTTTTTCATAAAATAAAATAAAACCTATTATTTAATACGTCATCTAAATTTATGAATTTAACCATATAAATAAAAATAAAGTGCTAAAAATACCTAAACAAATTATGAAATGTCAAAATTTTAATTAGAAAAACAACCACCCAGACAAAAAAAATGGACAGCAGATCTTGATTCCATAATCTATAGACAACTTTATGCTCAAATCCAATTCACATATTTTTTTTGTCTTTTTAATAATTCTTTTTATTTTCAGGTAGCACTAGTCATAATTCATAGTTGACTAAAAGTGCAAACTTAATGCTTTAAGAATTGCAAACTTTTCTACTCGAAAGACCTTTTTTTCCACCCGTTTTCCAAGGATTCACCAAGGGGGGTTTAGAATCGACCAGAACCAGCAAATCTATCTAAAGTAGAGAATGGCAAAGCACCGCCTTAGGGCACATGAGTGGAAACTGTAGGCTCATCCTAGGATCGATAAACTCAAACTACCAACCCAAAAAAGCAAACCTAACTTCCCAGGGATGGTTTACCACTGGATTACCAAGCAGAATCAACACATTCAAGAACATCCTCATCAGCCCCACCAACATTAGGATGATCAGAAGAACGTCAAGCTGATTTTCTGTGCGCCTCCTCAGGCAAAATACTAAAAGCCTCACCTACCTGTCAGGACAGCTTGAAAATCATTTCTTACGCTGGAGCATTATCTGGGCACTTGTAATTTCCTTCAGTAATCTCACAACAATGAGATAATTCACCAGTGATCATATTCACATGGCAAACTGTTGTATATACGAGAAAGCACTTCAAAACTCGTGATATAATGTTAGTCTTGATTCAAAACTGAATGTGCGGGACGAGGTCTGACAACATTCAGGACACCCCTTGCAGTTGCCTGGTAATGAGGGGAGTAATAAGATGTTAGAAACGTCCGGGGCTAAGCTAAAACTAGAGTATTAGATAATTATTGCATTACCTCAAAGAATGAATTGAAGTTCAAACGCGCAAGGAAACGCCGCAGAAATGGGGCTCGCTGATTTCCAACAAGCCTGCTGCTACGCAATATAGTGTACAACGAGTTCGATTTCTTGTTAAATTCCTGAACCAAGTACAACGAAAAACGATCCGCATTTGGCGTCAGAACTTCATGAAATTGAGGAATTTTCTAGGTGAGAAATGAAAAGATGAAAACCAACTCAGAGAAAAATCATAATATATTCATGTTAGCTGATGTACCTCTGTTATATGTTCTAGTTCAGATGTATCTGCACCTCTTTCTTGGTTTTCAATGCTCCAGCAGAATTGAAGACAAAGTTTCATTATACTGTCTAGTATTCTTGATAAAGATCCAATGTCCAAGAAAGATTGTGAAATTAAAGCTAACAAATACCTGTAAAAAAATAATCAGATAGTCATCCCAGGTGCAGCAGCAACCACATAAAAGATGAGAACTATAGAAACTGTATAAAGTATTAGCGTCAACTAGAAGTAGTCAAGCAAAAACGGAGCAAATCTTCTGAAGACTTGGACGCTACATCCTTTGGAGAACCACAAATGAAAAATGATATGATTTAATGCAATCAGAAACTATATTCTTGACTTACTCTTGATGGAATCCCACAAGTTCTGTAAAATCATGAGAATCTCGAATGTGAGCTTGAAGCACATTCCACTGAGATTCTATCACATCCACCTAAGACAAACAATAAATAAATAAATAATGAGAATCTTAAATGCAAGCTTAAATAAATTCCACTGAGATTCCATGACATCCACGTAAGACAAAAAAAAAAGTTTAAATGGGAATATGGAACTGAGAGAACACTGATCTAACAAGAAGAATTTGAATGAAAGAAAGAACCTCTATTGACGGAAATCGCTGAAAACCACCCTAGCTGAGATAGTATTCAAGAGACTATCTAACTCTCCCCATCGTGGTTGCCCAAGACCAAATGATTACCAAACAATTTGCAAACCTCATCAATTGCTAACATTTATATCCATACTATTCACAGATATATGTCTAACACTAACTAACTACTAACCACTAACCCACCCTTAACCAACTATCACGTTATCAACTATCAAGTTTCTTTTCATTTCACAGAGAACTAATCTCGAGAGGAAGTAAACACAGAAGAAAGTAATATGATATTAGTTATGACCTGTATATAGAACTGAAGATTTCTAATCAAGAATGCCATATGCTCTCTAATGCGCCACATTGGTCTGAATCGTTGCCGTCGTTGTTGAGGTGCTGAACCATTTACGCGGTCATTGTGGCGTTTTGCAAAATCTGTGTGATCTTGGTGCATTACGGAGGCCCATGATTTCTCCAATTCCATTTGTGTGCGTTTGAGCCGCAGCAAATATTGGAAGACCCTACTATATCTGAAGCAGGATTATAGTGGGCGTGCATGCATATGAATGTAAAGGTATAATTAGCAATAATCAAATCTTAAGAAGCCGTGTCCTTGTTTCAAAAGGCCTTGTCCTTCTTTAAAAATGAGCAGGTGATAAAATTCAAGGGGAACACTGAGAACATGACATCCACCGGTTGTAATAAAATCTTACTTGGAGAGCACTTCTTGGGTGAAGAACAACTGTAATGGCCAATCGACAGTGTACTCGAGAGCAATCCCATCCCAGCCATCAATGGCTGTATCTGAAGTAGCACCTGAATTACCATCCTTCGCTAAATCTCCTTGTGAGGATTTAACAGTCATTCCAAATGAAGGCATCCTAGAAGGTTGATAAAGATAAAATATGATACATTCTTCATGAAACCTTAAGATGAAGTTGCACAAATTCTAAAACTGCATGAAAAATCAAACATTTGGAGAACTAAGGAAGGGCTCTCACCGCAAGCATACTCTGGAAAAGTATTTGTCTTCCTCACCAATAGTCTTTATTGCCGCCTACATTACAATTAGGCCAATGAATTTATTTCCAAACAACTAATATTCATTCCCAAAACCAGCGCTAAACAAAAAATACTTTCAGCTAATCGGAAAATATTTTTTACGCTCCATTCTATTATTACCAGCTGAAAAGGGACCATAAGGTCAGCTTCAGCAGTTGACTGGCGAGGAGGCAAACGCATCAACTGGCGACTCTCCTCAAGAAAACACTGGAATAAAAATTATGTCATGTTCCTTTAAAATGAAATAAAAAAAAGGGAAAATTTAGATGAAAAAACTTCAAAGACATGTCACTACAGTTGGTACGTCCTGCATATCTCAAGAAAGTATAACTCCAGAAATAGCATATTCCCATTTCCCTATCCCTTGACGAGAAGTTAAATTGTCAAAGAAAAAATGCATTTATAAATGACATTCAGGAGGAAAAGTTCAATGAGTTTCTGAAGACCTTTTTGTCAACAACATTGACAAAGATATAGATACGGCAGTTCCAGAACCATTAAGGGGGGGAAAAAATCAAAGCCCTCAAAAAAGATGCATATGCATGCTATTAGACAAGGTCCATATTGCAAACACAAGGCAATAGTGGATGGCAGTAGGGATAGTAGTCCGTTAAAAGTGCCCACGAAAAGCTTCGACTTGCTTAAACAAAAAAGATATTGGTCTCTATGCATGTACGTCCACTCATTACCTGGAAAAAGTCTCCTTTTGCCAAAAGAAAATAGTCTTTTAGGGCTCTCAGATGGCCATTCAAATTAGCTCGTACAACCACAAGCTGCAGAAATGGAATAAATACATCAGACTTTGCACTCATTAATATCACATAACCAACTTTATCACACCCAGCAGTCAGCACCTGCCAAAGATGACTGGCTGCAATAGCGCGAATGGAATCGACAGCGTATTCAAATGATCTTTTGTGAAATTCTGATGATTCCTGCAAAATGAAGTTTATCATTAACATTCAGTTAGGAGTTCTATGAGGGAAAAAAAAAAGATATTCTTGCATTAATTTAGAATAATCAAAGAAGGGAATGCATGCCCAACTATCACTTTGTAGTTTGTAAAGCTGTATGTCACAGAACGTAATGCATGTAAAGTGACTTTCTCATGATATAAAGGTAACGTAATGCATGCAAAGTGAATTTCTCATGATATAAAGGTAGTGCAAGGAAACCTTTAGGTCTAAAAGCATAGATTCAATCTTATCAGCCTCAGACTGGGGCAGCAATTCTTCTCCAATATTTTCTGTATCAACAAGTGGCTCCTTTTGGAAAGGAAAACGTCCTGTGAACCCTTGAAATTTCTGAGAGCCTTTTGGCATCTGGTGATGATGTGCAGCATCCTGAAACCGAAATGCATGGCTTGGATTGCGAAGAACCCTTATAGCTTTACCTGCAAATAAAATTGATTCTGCAACACGCATATGGATATGTTCTGGCAGCATATCCTACGAAAAGAAAAAAAAAAAGGAAAAGGAGTATATTTAATAACAAGTCTAGAAAAAGAATTTCTAGTTAACACTTGAGAAAGAGATGTGAAAGAACAATTTGCTGCACAGGATGAAATTTCAGATCCTTCAAGCCTTTCAAGAAAAGATAAATCTATCCCGATGACAACATCACAGCAGGTAAAAACTATTCAGGCTAACACTTCTCGAGTAAATTTTATCTCATGCGTATAACTTATAGCGCCCTTTCTAAGTCAAGGAGTAGTGGTATCTAACATGGACAATAATTCTTATTAACGCAAGTGCACAAAATTTGGAATTTTTAAAACTGCAATACAACATAAAAAGAGTGGTAGATAAACTCATAAATTCACACTAGGCATCCTTTAAAAAATGAAAGCAAAATTTGGCAAGAAAAAAGTAAACATAACAAACTTGATAACAATACTATCTAATACTCTGTTTTTCCTTTTTTTTTTTTTTTTTGGGTTGTGAACATTGACGAGAAATCACTACCAAATATATCCTTTTCATCTCACAAGTATTCAATACAAGAAATCAATCTACATCCACAAATTAAGAGCTAAACGTAGATAGGTGCAAACTATGAGTATGAAACAACATGGCCATAGCAAAAGAGACACTCAAGATACCAAATAAATATGAAAACCCAAGTGCCAATCTGTTAGAGACGTATCATCAGTAGATAAGCGTGCCAACTTTTCCGATATGTCCGAATGAGAAGAACCATGCTCTACATCCCTGTCCTCCTGCCTGAAAGTTATATACAGCCATAAAACATATTATGTCACTGGCGCAGAAAAACAGAAGCAAATATGGAAATAAAATTTTCCTTTTGAAAAAGAAAAAAAGAGAAAGGTGAATCGCAGAAGTTCTACCAAACATGACTTTAAGGAAATTATAAGAAATTATAGCCCACACTCGCATACCATTAATGTCATATTATCACAGTAAATTTGACTAACAAATTAGCCAGATACCTAATGTAATTACAGAATAAGTATCTTATCAGTTATAAAGATATCCAATCCGCCAAACTATAAAGTTTCTGTAAGAAAAGCCTGAAAAACACAAACTAAATTCTAGCAAAGAAACAAAATTGACAATGATATTCACATCAGGCCAAAGAAATGAATGTCGTCAAACATTACCTCCTAATGAAAAATTCTCCATACTGGTCTTGAAGAGTCCCATAAACCATCCATGAGGCAAGCTGGTTATACATAACCTGATGTCCATGCCAAAGAAGCCTATGCTTCAAACACGGACAAGTAAAGGGGAAGTAACATGAGCAGCATAGAATTTGTTTCAAAGTTAAATAAGCACTTATCTTTCATTTCATGGATTCATTGAACAACAGACAATAGCAGTGGATTATATTTAAGAACGACTACATTTAGGTTTACTGATAATTGTCAAAAGAAACTGAAGAAACAAAAACGGATAGTAAAGCTGTTCCGTGCTAATGTACATTGATCGAAAGATTAAACGAGATGCACACCTTTGAATGCACGTCTGCAATTCGGGTACTCCACAATGGCATCGTTTGTGCAAAAGGTTAAGAAGTTGACCGCCGCGAATATCATTGCGCTCTATCTCTAGAACAAGCTCGTATAAAGGCGGTAAAAGAACAAAAAACTACATACAAAACAAGAGAAGAACCAAATCACAAGATTCGTAAAAACAAAATAACGTATAACAAATGAACAAAAACAAATAAATAAATTCAGAGTATGAGAAGCGAACCTTATTGAGGCCCTGAGTTACAGTGGCCAAAATGGGGACAGTTTCGGACAACAATTTCTGCTCAATGTGGAGAACAGCCGACCTATATACCGACAGAATCTCAACAATACCATTAGCAATAGCTCTACGGTACACGCTCTGCTTTTTTCCGGTTTTTCCTTTGGACAACTCGGAGATCGTCGCTAAAGGGCTCGCGTTCTCGGACCTTATCCAACTCAAATTCCGAGACTTGGTCGCGAATCGGTCGAGCTCTCGGTAATAAAACCCTAGCGTCACGATCCTCTCGATCAGATCCCTGCATTTCAAGTGAAAGAATAATTTCACAATCACAAGACTACCATGGCTGAAACAATTCAAGCGATTTTCTCCATTTTTTGGTTATAGGCACCACCTTTCGCTGGGTTGGAGGAAGGAGATATCGGGAGCGAGCTTGAAAGTGGGCTCGTCGGCGATGGGAGCGTCGGGAGACAAGGCGATGCCCAGGGAATTGCGGTGATCTCTCTCGTCGATTATGAGATCGCCCGTGTAGCCCAGGAGCGCCAGCAGAACCTCGTGAAGCATTATCCTCACTCTCTCTCTCTCTAATTTTGGAGTTGGTTTGAAATGAGGATGATGACCTCCAAACTTAACTGAAAATTTTTTTGAAATTGAAAATGCGTCGCAGCAAAGTGGGAACGGATGTTTTTACCGGCTCTCTTGCGCGGGTTCAGTGCCAAGCCGGGACTGCCTGGAGAAATTTTGATGAAAGAGACCGGAAGAAAATAGAAATTGAGGATCCAGACCATTTTTTTTTCATAAAAAAAACCATTGATGTGTATTTTACGTATTAAAAAATAAACCCCATTTTAATTTATGTGTACATTTTAATTTTTTTTCTCTCAAAATTGAAGAGACCATCACCCGACTGACCCTTTTTCTTTCTTTTTTTTCTTTTTCTTTCCATTCCTTCTTTGCCCAGACCCCCTTTCCTCTCTCTCTCTCTTCTGGTTCTCACCGACCACCCCAACGTTGAACGACCTTCTCCAAACGCCGACCGATCCTCACGAACACCGACTGACCATCCCGAACGCCGACTGACCCTCCAGAACTCTGACCCGACCCTCTCGAACGCCGACTGACCAACCCCAATGCCGACCGACCATTTCCACCCCAACGCCGACTGACCTTCCCCAAAACGCCGACCGATCCTCACGAACACCGACTGACCATCCTAAATGCCGACCGACCAACCCCAACGCCGACCAACCATTTCCACCGACCCTCCGAACGCTGACCCGACCAGAACACCCACGCCTCCAGACCACAACTGAAATGGCATCACAAAACAACTATTCTTCCTCAACTAAGACGGCTATTTCCAGAACTCAAGTCAACGAGGCAACGGAATCTGCTCTCCCTCAAGTAACACTAAGATTTTATTCTCTAAATTAACATTAAGGTTTTATTCTTATTTTATTTTTTTCAAAACAAACCAAGAACAGACCAATAACCGGCCGAACATAACAAAACGCATTAAGAACATACCAATAACAGACCGAACAGACCAAGAACCGACCACCAGATCAAGAACAGACCAAGAACCGACCACCAGACTAAGAACAGACCAAGAACCGATCACCAGACTAAGAACAGACCAAGAACCGACCAACCAGACCAAGAACAAACCAAGAACCGACCACCAGACCAAGAACAGACCAAGAACCAACCACCAGACCAAGAACAGACCAAGAACCGACCGACCAGACCAAGAACAGACCAATAACAAACTCTAATAAAACATTAAAAACCTACATTTTTACATATATTTTGATTTTTTTGGTATGAATAACTATTGTAATTTATAAAAGAGGAAAAAAATTGGTAAAAAAAGAAAAAACCAAGAAAAAACCAAGAGCAGACCAAGAACTGACAACACTTGATCAAGAATAGACAATGATGTTTTTTTTTTTGGAAAGCTTCGAACTAGTCCCGAAGATTGGAGAGACATTTAATTTATAAAAGAGAAAATAATTTGGTAAAAAAGGAACAGACCAAGAACCGACAACACTTGACCAAGAATAGAGAGTGATGTTTTTTTTTTGGAAAGCTTCGAACTAGTCCCGAAGATTGGAGAGACATTTAATTTATAAAAGAGAAAAAAAAATTTGGTAAAAAAAGAAAAAACCAAGAACAGATCAAGAACCGACAACACTTAACCAAGAATAGACAATGATGTTGTTTTTTTTTTGGAAAGCTTCGAACTAGTCCCGAAGATTGGAGAGACATTTAATTTATAAAAGAGAAAACAAAATTGGTAAAATATTAAAAAAACCAAGAACAGACCAAGAACAGATCAAGAACCGACAACACTTGACCAAGAATAGACAATGATGTTGTTTTTTTTTTTGGAAAGCTTCGAACTAGTCCCGAAGATTGGAGAGACATTTAATTTATAAAAGAGAAAAAAAAATTGGTAAAAAAAGAACAGACCAAGAACCGACAACACTTGACCAAGAATAGACAGTGATGTTTTTTTTTTTGGAAAACTTTGAACTAGTCCCGAAGATTGGAGAGACATTTAATTTATAAATGAGAAAAAAAATTTGGTAAAAAAAGAAAAAACTAAGAACAGACCAAGAACCGACAACACTTGACCAAGAATAGACAGTGATGTTTTTTTTTTTTTTTTGAAAGCTTCGAACTAGTCCCGAAGATTGGAGAGACATTTAATTTTTTAATGAGAAAAAAAATTGGTAAAATATTAAAAAATCAAGAACAGACTAATAACAGACCAAGAACCGACAACACTTGACCAAGAATAGACAATGATGTTGTTTTTTTTTTTTTTGAAAAGCTTCGAACTAGTCCCGAAGATTGGAGAGATATTTAATTTATTAAAGAGAAAAAAAATTGGTAAAAAATGAAAAAATTAAGAACAGACCAAGAACATCTTGGTTTGTTCTTGGTTTTTTCTCTTTTTACCAATATATTTTTTCTCTTTTATAAATTACAATGGTTATTAATACCCAAAAAATCAAAAAATATGTAAAAATGTATGTTTTTAATGTTTTATTATAGTTTGTTATTGGTCTGTTCTTTGTCTGGTTGGTCGATTCTTGGTCTATTCTTAGTCTGGTGGTCAGTTCTTGGGTCTGATGTTCGGTTCTTGGTCTGTTCTGTTGGGAATGGTGTCCTAGAAGCATAAGATGTAATAGGATATTTATTATTTATTTAATAAAAGAGTTTATTCATTATTTTATGTGCATATATTTATGAATATTTTATGAATATCAATAAAAATTCTATGATTATTTATGTAACC